ATGCTATGACCGATCTGTTCACCTCGATAGTTCAGACACATAACCCGACATGGGCTGATTGCCAGCAGTTATTAATGACATTGTTCAATAATGAGGAAAGGACAAGGATTAACCAAGCGGCCATTAAGGCGCTAGAGGAGAGAGCCCATGCTTTAAATCAAGCCAATCCGGCAGCATGGGCCGCAACACATTACCCTAACACCGATCCTGACTGGAATGTAAATGGCACAGATATGGCTCAACTTAAAGCCTATAGAGATGCTATAATTGCTGGCATGAAAGCCGGAGGAAGAAAGCTATTAACATGTCGAAGACAGTTGAGGTGATTCAGAAAAGTGATGAAGCGCCCAGTGTCTTTTATGACCGATTATTGGAGGCATACCGCTTGTATACCCCCTTTAATCCGGAATACGCTGATAATTCCCGAATGGTAAACTCCGCCTTTGTCAGCCAAGCTTACGGAGATATTAAGCGCAAGCTACAGAAATTGGAAGGGTTTGCAGGTATGTCTATCACCCAACTAATGGAGGTAGCGAACAAAGTATATATGAATAGGGAAACAGAAAGTAAGAAAGAGGAAGAGCGCAAGATGCGTAGAAAGGCAGATATGCTAGCGGTAGCGATCGCAGGCGTAGATAGACGGGGCCCAGATAGAGGCGATGGTAGATGGAATAGGGAGCCTTTGAGTAGGAATCAGTGCGCGTACTGTAAGGAAGAAGGGCATTGGAGGAACGAGTGTCCGCAAAGAGAGCAGTATGAGAGAGACTTACCCAGGGCAGGTTACGGAAACTTTAGAGGCAGAGCGAGAGGTAGAGGAGGCCCCGGAGGGAGTAATGGTAATAGAGGGAGTAATGGTAATAGAGGGAGTAATGGGAACAGAGGAAGTGTAAGGGAAGATAGGTACTATCCAGCAGCGCAAAGGTCCCGCGATAGAGAAGGTAGGGACTTTGTGGGATTGGCTGACACGGTCATGGAGGACTATTGATACCGACCGGGCTCCATCCCCCTTGGTCGAGCGGAGCCTATGGTCGATGTATCAATAGGGGGAAAAAGGAGTGCGTTCATGATCGACACTGGTGCTGAACATTCGGTGGTGACTAATCAAGTTGCTCCTCCATCTGGAAGAACTATTACTGTAATAGGAGCAACTGGAAGAAGTGCTGAAAAACCGGTTCTTAAAAGTCGACTCTGTACATTGGGAGGCCACGTAGTAAAACATCAATTCCTTTATATGCCTGAGTGTCCAGTCCAATTGCTGGGACGTGATATGCTATCCAAATTACAAGCGCAGATTACGTTCCTACCAAATGGAACAACATCCTTAAAGTTTAATGGACCCTCAGGTATTATGACATTGTCCGTACCAAAGGAAGAAGAGTGGCGACTTTATACAGTGTTGACTAGCCAAAACCCGAGGAGTGATGAATCCTTATTTAACATACCAGGAGTTTGGGCAGAGAACAACCCACCAGGACTGGCCCGCAATATTCCACCTATTAAAATCGAACTAAAACTTGGGGTTTATCCAGTAAGCCTGAGACAATATCATATTCCGCAGAAGGCTAAGAAGAACATCCAATCTTATCTGGATAAGTTCATACGGTATGGTATCCTAAAATTCTGTACTTCCCCCTGGAACACCCCATTGCTGCCTGTTCAAAAGCCCGGTACAGATGAGTATCGACCTGTGCAGGACTTGAGAGCAGTCAATGATGCGGTTGTTAGTATACATCCAGTCGTGCCCAATCCATATAACCTGCTTGCTTTAATTCCGGGCGGGGCTACTTACTTTACAGTCTTAGATCTCAAAGATGCCTTCTTTTGCCTCCGAATTGCCGCAGAAAGCCAATGTATCTTCGCTTTCCAATGGGAAAATGCTGTAACGGGCTCGAAACGCCAAATGACCTGGACAAGATTGCCCCAGGGGTTTAAAAATTCACCTACCCTATTTGGTTCAGCTCTAAGTCAAGATCTACTAGATTTCGAGTCTATCCCAGGAGAGTGTGTATTATTACAATATGTAGATGACTTGTTGATAGCAGCAGTTACAAAGGAAGTATGTCAGCAAGCAACGCACGATCTACTACACATTCTCTGGAAGGCAGGATACAAGGTGTCAAGAAGGAAGGCTCAGTTGTGTTTGCCAACTGTCAAATATCTGGGATTCCATATCTCTGAAGGTCAAAGAATTATGGGGCCAGAGAGAAAAGAAGCTGTGTGCCAAATACCGATACCCAGGAATAGAAGACAAGTGCGAGAATTCTTGGGGGCAGCAGGCTTCTGTAGGATATGGATTCCCAGCTACGCGATACTGGCAAAACCTCTGTATGCAGCTATCAAAGGTACAGAGCACGACCCCTTCTTATGGACTCAAGAACAGCAAACGGCATTCGAAGATGTGAAGAGGGCTTTGATGAGTGCCCCAGCATTAGGTCTACCTGACCACACACGGCCATTCTACCTGTATGTACATGAGCAAAGAAGAATGGCTGTGGGAGTATTGACACAGTACTTGGGATCATGGCAAAGACCTGTTGCCTACATGTCTAAGCAACTGGATGCAGTGGCCAGCGGACTTCCACCTTGTCTAAGAGCTGTAGCTGCAGCCGCCCTGCTAGTAGCTGAAGCCGATAAACTCACTCTGGGTCAAGAACTTTATGTACGAGTTCCACATGCAGTACAGACGTTGTTGGATTACAAAGGAAATCATTGGTTTAGTAACAGCCGTATGACCAAGTATCAAGCAATGTTGTGTGAAAACCCAAGAGTGCATTTAGAGACTGTAAATACCTTAAATCCAGCTACCCTTTTGCCACAACCTACTGAAAGTCAACATGATTGTTTGGAAGTAATGGATGAAGTATTTTCAAGTAGACCAGATCTTCGTGATTTTCCCATCCAGAACCCTGATGTTCAATATTACACCGACGGCAGTAGTTATGTAAAAGAAGGGATCCGCTATGCAGGATATGCAGTAACAACGATAGACAAGGTGATAGAAGCTCGGCCACTGGCAAAAGGAACATCAGCACAAAAGGCAGAATTGATAGCACTGACACGAGCGTTACAATTGGCTGAAGGTTTAAGAGTGAACATCTACACGGACTCCAAGTATGCGTTTTTAACCACTCATGCCCACGGAGCTTTGTATAAAGAAAGAGGACTATTGAATTCAGAAGGCAAAGAAATCAAATACGCAGCTGAGATCCTACAACTATTGGAAGCAGTGTGGGAGCCGAAAGAAGTCGGTATTATACATTGTCGGGCGCATCTGAGAGGAGATGGTGATGTAACCAAAGGGAATCGGATGGCAGATAGTGCAGCTAAGCGTGCTGCTGAATCAGGAAGACAGGAATATGTGGGGCATATAGCTGCTCTTATACCAACTCCACTGTCTCAATGGACTCCAATTTATACAGCTCAAGAAGAGGAGTGGTTAAGGACTGAACCTGGAAAGTATTTGGAGAACAAATGGTATCAGTTAGAAGATGGAAGAATAGTTATTCCAGCATCACTAGCGGTAGAAATTGTCCAAAACTATCATAACGGGACACATTCTGGGAGAGACAGTACAGAAGAATCTCTCAGAAAACATTTCTACATACCAAGATTGTCCAACTTGACTCAGGCCATTGTACGTAGATGTGTAACGTGTGCTAAAAATAATGCAAGACAAGGACCAGTAAAGCCACCAGGAGTCCAGTTTATGGGGGGACTTCCCATGTCCGATTTACAAATTGACTATACAGTGATGCCTAAATCGGGTGGACATCGCTACCTGCTGGTAGTGGTGTGCACCTATTCAGGCTGGGTAGAAGCATGTCCTACTCGTACAGAGAAAGCAGGAGAAGTCGTGAGATTCCTGCTACGAGAAATAATACCCCGATATGGACTACCCTGCTCTATAGGATCGGACAATGGTCCAGCTTTGTTCATCAGTGCCTACAACAATTGACTCATATGCTTGGTATAAAGTGGAGGCTTCATACGGCATATAGACCCCAGAGTTCTGGTAAGGTAGAGAGAATGAATAGAACTATTAAGAATCAGTTGGCTAAAATGTGTCAGGAAACCCAACTTAAGTGGAACGTTCTCTTGCCCATAGCTCTATTGCGAATCCGTAGTACACCTACCAGAAGGATGGGCCTCTCTCCTTTTGAAATCATGTACGGGCGACCACCTCCCGTGCTTGGTAACTTAAGGGGGGATTTGAGTCAGTTGGGAGAAGGAATTACCCGGCAGCAGGTTGTAGAGTTGGGTAAGACTATGGAGGAGGTACAGAAATGGGTACAAGATAGATTACCTGTGAATATTTATCCCCCAATTCATAGTTACCACCCAGGCGACCAAGTGTGGATTAAAGAGTGGAATAATGTGCCGTTAGGGCCCAAGTGGAGAGGTCCTTATGTTGTTCTTCTGTCTACCCCTACAGCGATAAAAGTAGCCGAAGTGGCTCCGTGGATACATCACTCCAGGGTTAAACCAGCAGCAGCCGATTCCTGGCAAGTTACAGCAAATCCAGAGAATCCCTGCAAGATCCGGTTAAAACGCACGACTCAGTCGGAGTGACGAGGAACCTTGTAGATTACAAATTTTATTGTTTCAGAGACTTGGTAAGTGAGTGAGAAGGCCATAATAAAGCCTGTCCACTCACCAACGAGTGTATAAGTCAGGGAAAGTCTTGAGGGGACCCCTGTGAAGACGAGCAGAACTCCATTCCCTGCAGTCCTTACATCCTGGAAGCTGAGGTGCCTTCACACGGACGAAGACTGAGGATGACGACGAAAGATGTATTTTTAATAATGTTTATTTATGTGTATTTTTATATTCAGGAAGGTAGAGGTACCAACACTCCTAGCTGTGAGGTATGCATTAAGACTACAAGAACAGGTAACCATATATCCCAGACCCTAATTTGGCATTCGCAATATGAGTGTAAAGGAGATGTATCAAGATGTAGATACTTAAATATAGAATATAGTGTGTGTCATTTAGGAGTAGGAGAACCTAAGTGCTTCAGTCCTGAGTATCAACCCCGTACAATTTGGTTGACTCTCAGAAATGGAGATTCTCAGGGGACCCTAATTAATAAGACGGTATTAAAATCCGTATATTCTTCAGGTGCTCTGCTATTTGATGCGTGTAAAGCAATATCAAGTGGTAGAAAGCCGTGGAATGTATGTGGGGATCTTAGATGGGAGAGGACGTATGGGTCTAACGATAAATATATTTGTCCCAGTAGTAAAAATAAATATGTAAGTCCAAGATGCCCAAATAGAGATTATAACTTCTGCCCATATTGGTCTTGTGTGGGGTGGGCGACTTGGGGACAGACAGCAGACAAGGACATGATTGTGACTAAGTTGCCTACTGATCCATATTGTAAGTCTATGGAATGCAATCCAATCCATATACTTATAAATAACCCTGACAAGTTCTTAGATAAATATGGTAATTTATTTGGGTTTCAAATATATGGGACGGGTTTAGACCCTGGGACAATATTGTTTATAGGGATAGAGACTGATACGGTAACCTCCCAAACTCATCAAGTATACCATTCCTTTTATGAAGAGATGAGCATAGATAATAAGATCCCCCATAATGCTAAAAACTTGTTCATTGATTTAGCCGAGAGTATTGCCGGTAGTCTTAATGTTACCAACTGCTATGTGTGTGGAGGTACTAACATGGGAGACCAATGGCCTTGGGAAGCAAAGGAGGTAATGTCCGGTTCTGAGGCAGTTGACCAATTAATATCTACACAAGCCGACTATCATATGAGTGTTAGAGGTAAATCTGAGTGGAGATTGAAGACCTCCATCATAGGTTATGTTTGCATAGCGAGGAAAGGAATGATGTATAATACTTCTGTAGGAGAATTAACTTGTCTAGGGCAAAAAGCTTATGATGATGATACAAAGAATACAACTTGGTGGTCGGCTTCAAATGTCTCAGAACCATCTAACCCGTTTGCAAGATATGCCAATTTAAAGGACGTATGGTTTGATCTATCCATCACATCTAACTGGAGAGCCCCAGCGAATTTGTACTGGATCTGTGGTAAGAAGGCCTATTCGGAGTTACCACAGGACTGGGAAGGGGCATGTGTGTTGGGTATGTTAAAACCATCTTCTTCTTGTTGCCTATTGAAACAGGTGAGACTTTAGGTGTTAAAGTGTATGATGTGAATCATAGGAAGAAAAGGGGACCCATAGAGATAGGTGCCTGGGAAGATAATGAATGGCCTCCCCAGCGTATTATAGATTATTATGGGCCAGCCACGTGGGCAGAGGATGGTACCTTTGGTTATAGAACCCCTATTTATATGCTCAACCGCATTATAAGGTTACAGGCGGTGGTTGAGATCATTACTAACGAGACATCACAAGCGCTCAATCTTCTAGCGAAGCATAATACCAGGATGAGGACAGCAGTTTACCAAAATAGATTAGCCTTGGATTATCTTTTGGCAGTAGAGGGAGGTGTATGTGGGAAGTTTAACCTGAGCAATTGCTGTCTTCAAATAGATGACGAAGGGCAAGCAATAGCTGAGCTTACTAGCCATATGGTTAAACTAGCGCATGTGCCTACTCAGGTATGGAAAGGGTACAATCCAAGTAGTTGGTTTGGTAGCTGGTATGAGTGGTTTGGAGGGCTTAAGGCAGTGGTAGGTGGAGTCCTACTGATTTTAATGTTGTGTCTACTCCTGCCGTGTCTTATACCCTTAGTAGTTAGGTCTGTGCAAAGCCTGATAGAAAATATAGCAGAGAGGAAGGCTGCTGCACAGATAATGGCAATTTATAAATATAAGGCTCTAGATCAGGGAGAACCAATGCAGGAAGACGAGTGTTGAAGATTCACATCATAGGATAAGTCTGGTCTGGTTCAAAGGTAACTTGTGGTGTATGCAAACCAAGGTTAAGTGATGCCTCAAGTAATTGTAAAATATCAAGAGGCATCAAAGGGGGGAATGTGGTGGAATCTCGGTAAAAATAAATTTAGTAGGCCGAGATTACCACGTGGCATGTGTACGTGCATATGCTGACGTATCGATCAGTTGGTTGCACGAGGCAAGATACGATCAGTAGTGTACGGAGCATGTGCAAGAATACAGGATGTAGTATTCCCCTCCTCCATTGTGCTGGACAAGCCATGCGGTCAAGCAGGAAGTTAATTCTTATTTGTAATGATTGGTCAAGAGAATGTGCGGGTGGAGCTTAATATGGGAGGAGTTATGTGCCTATATAGGGAGCCTGCACTATTGTTCAGGGCTCAGAACTTGCTGTATTTTTGGTGACATTAGTCCCTCTGAGTCCCGATCGGTGATCCAATAAAGAATCTCTTCCTTCCTGAAGAAACCTGTGTCCATCCCTCTGTGCTTTGCTTCCGTCAGTTTCTCCGGTATCATAACTAGGCTCTGTATAATCCATATGTCTAATATTATCCTTACCTTTTTGTGTCATTTTACCCCACTCCCTCTAGCATGTAAGCTCATTGAGCAGGGCCCTCAACCCCTCTGTTCCCCTGTGTCCAACTTGTCTGGTTACAACTACATGTCTGTTCGTCCACCCATTGTAAAGCGCTGCGGAATTTGACGGCGCTCTATAAATATCATAATAATAATAATAATATGTTGTGGAAGTAGACAAAAATATTACCAGGTTCAATAAAAAGCGTTTAATTGACCATTACAATACACAGAGATATCTCATGGAGATTGGCAAGAAGCAATCTAACATCATGTTACAATTCCTCATATTTTATACATATGACCCGGAACCGGCCTTTCGTTTAGCTTGAATCAGAACTCCAAATATGGTCTTATTTCCTATTGGCTAAATTCTAGCATAACTGACAAATTTAAGGTTCAAAGTTTAAGCATACCATGATCTTTCTAACAGATGACTTGACCACAGTCATGCGTCTTACTTCGCTAAAATATCGCTTGTCTATGATAAAAGTTAACACATATAAGACTTCCTCTTTCACAACTTAAGCACACATTTCACCTTTCCCCCCCTGGCAACATCTGACAAGACACACTTTCAAAATAACCTTTCCTTTTGCAATCCAAAAAACAGTCCAGACATCCATTAATAAATTGTAGCAATAAAACATAGTTTCTTCTTATTTCTTAGAGTAAATATTCTTCTTTGATTATATTTTAAGATGATGAATAAACAGCAAAATGGCTGACAGCATGTCAGTAGCAGGTTACATATGTTCACAGTCCTCCCTTTGGTGCTAGGACTTTCACCACAAAAAGCTCTGTGCAACACTTCCATGTTTAGCGAAGGTCATTCAGTGAGCTAGTGATTTTAAACAGCACTTGCAGGACTTTCCATATAGATGCGCACACGATCAATATCTTCACGAGAAATTATGTCTGTATTCCAAGTCGGTATGAGTTGTGACCGGATAGGAGACATTTCAACATTCGAAATTGTGCCAAGGGGAGATGAAGGTGAACAGCTCTTGAGGGTCAATTGGCATGCACACTTCAGGACATTCAATGCAACATATATAAACACAAGCATCAATACTACTAAAATAACTCCAATGAGAATACGTTTTCCCATTGTTCCCAACCAATTAGTTAAACCAAAACTCCAGTCAAAACCCCAATTTAAACCTCCCGAAGAAGTATCGTGAACTTCTCTAAGTTTAATTTGTACTTCATGCAATTTATCTACATCTGTATGAATCTGACCAGTAACATTATCTATCTTTAAACAACATCTTGTTTTTATTAGTGCACAAACACCACCTTCGGAGGCCAACAAATAATCTAGGGCGAACCTATTTTGCATAATCATAGCTGAAGCTTGTTCCTGTTCTGCAGACAATTTTTCAATTGCATCTCCTGTATTATTAAAGGCTTCATCTAGTAACAAGTTTAATTTGTACATTAATTCAATAACCCCCCATGTAGGTACAAAACCTGCAAATAGCCTATCTTCTTCACCAGATTTTACAGTTCTTTCGGTTTTATCTTTTTTGGGACTAATAACCTTTCTTTTATTCTTCACCCTTCCTTCAGGCAAATTTTCATGAAGGGTTAACGCTGGGATAATATTACCTAGATAACAAGTTTCCACCCAATTACATGGAAGTCTTTTTACTGCCCAACTACCAGATAAATAGTATACCCCAAATGGAAGATGGATATCAATAACACGAGAATCCGAGCAGTCAAAAATAGGTTGATTAATATAGGGCAGTAGCATAAAAAGATTGGAAGTTTGAGTATTAAAGTAGGCCCATCTCAAAATAGTGACATTAAATGTTCATTCTGATCATAATTATTATCCATGATTTCTACCTCAGAAGTCAAATTTACCCATACATGATTAGTAATCACCGGGATTCTATCCTTGATGGGACATTTTGTTAAAATATCTTCTAATAAGGGTTTCCAACAAAAAGCTTTCAATCTACCAGTACAAGGGGCAGAATTAGTTTCAGACCCACATAGATTTTAAAGGACATTGTTTTCAAAAATAACAATAGCATTGCTTATAGGCTTAACAATCTTGTCAGGACTTTTCTGATCCCTGTTAGAAATTACTACTGCTCTGCTAGTAATAGCAGGTTCCTCAGATTTGGATACTTCATTCTGAATAAATCCAACAAACCCCGTTTTATTTGCTCTTATTTTCTCACAAAGACCCATAAAGATTCCATAGACCATGGCACCCCCACAAAAGGATAACCATAGTTCATGGAATACGGAGCAAACCCACAAACCCAACAATGATTACTTTTGTTTGACAATTTATACAATTCAGTAGCTGTTTTAACGAAATGATTATCTATCTCCCAAGAAGAAAAATACTTGGCTCCCTGGCCCAAGCTACACGTGTATTAAAGAAAAAAAGAGGAGCTAACGTAGTGTAGAGGATGAAAAATTAAAAAATGTCATAATGACAATCATTAAGGACAATATAAGTTTAACCAGTTTGAGATTCATGAAGAAAAACAGTAGAGTTGACTTTGGATTAGAAAGATACTCCCCTTATAAAGTACCCCTTTTTAGAAGGGAAAACGGCTTCCTTAGTCCTCTATTCTTCCAGTGAAAAAATCTTTTTCAGCGCTTGTCAGTTTACAATGGGAAATGTGGATCCAAGATTTAACCCCTGCGACTTTAACAGCTGAATTAGTGGTTAATAACACTTGACAAGGTCCTTTCCACCTTGGTTGCAACGCGTGCTTTCGTGAATGATCTTTTATCATAACATAATCTCCAGGAGCGATGGCATGCAAAGGTTGGTATTCACTTGTTCGCTGTACAGCTTTTACCTGCATATAGAGAGACTAATCGTTTTGTTAGCTACATGCAATACGTCATTACTAAATCATCATTTATCTCATGAGAATAACATTTTATAGGTACCCATCCTGTGAACATTGGTCTTCCCATTAGAATTTCTTGAGGAGATAACCCTGCTTTCGAGCTGGAGAGAATCTCATAGACATTAAGGCAAGAGGAAGTGCATCAGGCCACTTTAACTTTCTCTGCTGCAATTTTTGCAATTTTATTTTTCAATGTTCCATTGGCCCTTTCTACTGCTCCTTCTGACTGAGGATGATGAGAGCAATGTAAATGGTAAGGGATTTGCTAAATTTTTGCTATCTGTTGCACTACTTTTCCTGTGAAATGTGTTCCCTGATCTGAGTAAATGTGCCGAGGCAATCCATACCTGGGTATAAATTCTTGTAACAATTTCTTAAACATTGTAGGCATATCGGCATGGCAACAAGGATAAGCCTCAATCCAACCTGAGAATGTATCTAATATTACTAGCACATACCGATACTGCATTACCTTTGGTAATTCAATGAAATCCATTTGTAAATTTACAAATGGACCTCATGAACAGGGAGGATGATTTAGGTCTCTGACCTGCATTGTATTGTAAACAAATAACACATGAAGAACACACCAGTGCCAATACAGATTCTAGGCCCAGCCTTGACCATTCAGAATTAAACAACAATGATGGCAATGCTGGTCTTCCACTAAATATACACTCTCCCCACCAAAATCACTTACTTCTTCTTCCCTCAGTATCACATACAATCCCTTTACTTTCAAATGTACCATAGGTTCTGGACCTTGGGTCACAGGTACACTAACAATACATATTCAGACCCCAATCTTCCTCTACATCTAGTCTGTCTTTTTCTTCTAATTGCTTTCTTGCCCCCTTTACCTCCTTGCAATCTGTTGCTATATGACCATATCCATCACAATTGAAACATTTGATAAATGTTCTTACATTATTCTGTGGGGGTCTTCTGGCTGTGTTTTGTCTTGGCTGATGTGCATAATATCTAACAGGAATTTGTTCAGCTTGTAGCATTATGTGCTCAGCTTTTGCATTTTCCTTGATTTGAATAGCTTGTCAAATTTCTGATGCTGCACTTAATACAATATCAAGTGATTTATCCCGTCATCCCAGTAAGGATAACATCAATTGTTTTTTTTTTACTTTAGCATCCAAACCATTTACTAAGGTATTCACTATGAACGGCTTAATTGATTAATTCGTGATATCTTCAAAACTTCCAAAAACCTTAATTGCTTCCGCATATTCATAGGGGTTTTCTCCTTTCTTTTGCACTATGCTATGTATAGTCAATAGGCTGGGTAAAAACAGTTTTTACTTTGATGCTGAGGAATGCATACCAATTCTTAAGGACAACATCACTCCTCTCATCAGGGCAATTTTCCCATATGTGTGCAACTGCTTGTCCCCCCACCCCTGCAGGCCATGAAAAAGGTGACTCGTTATATCCTGCCACCCATTTAGTATGTTCTGTAGGGGTTAATACTGTCTCCATTAACTCATTAAGATCTTATGCTGTGGGGAAATAGCTGGCACACATTATTTTTAAATGTTTTACAAACCCATTTGGATCTAGAGGGGGCAGGAAATGATACCTATAAAAATGCTATGTCTTGTGGGCTCCACGGTTGACAAATCCTCCGTGGTCTCCCATCATTATCCATCTGTCCCACTTCTCTAATAGGTAAAATCATAGCCTCACTCCCATCACTCTCAGGCAACACATTGCTACATCCTGATAAACCTGATAGTAACCACAGCATGATCAGCAAATCTTTTAGGCAGTCTAATATCCCTCTCAGGTCTACCACCTCAATGCAACATGGCTGAGGCACCAGCTAAATTTTGGGGTACAAGCTGTGGTGCATCATTCATCTGCTGAGGGGAAGTGACCCAAAGAGGGATTCATAATCTCATGATTAATCAAAAAATCCTCATCATCATTATAAGGCGGAGGATTTTTAACATTTCTTTTTAAATTGTACAGTGAGGGATACAAACAGGCAACCCCAGTACCCTCTCCTTTACGTGCCCCTCCTGTTGCACCAGACTGGGGGGAACATTCTTGCTTTTTCTTTTCAATTTCCTCATGCTATAACATATATGCAGACCATTCCAGTTTTGAAAGACTTTTTCCATTTAACAACATTGTTCTTAAACTTAACAACACCCAAGGGTCTAATGACCCCACCACTGGCCATGGATTTATATTATTCTTAGTTAACTTTGCCCATTTCTTTGAATACATAATATTTGAAGGGCCATATTTCTGTTTCATTAAATAAACTGGGGAATCACTGGGTATACTATCCCCATGATCAAGCTGCTTGCCATGATTCAACCTCATTTCTGTTACTTGTACTTTTACACACCACTATATCACCTTTTGAGAGATCGAAAGGTCACAATTTTCAGTCTGTATACTGACTGACAACTGGAGTTTACACAAAAATCTCTTCTCAAATGATGTCACAGTTTATCAAAATTTAAACCATATACACACAGTTATACAATTTTAACACAATACATCTTACTCAAGTGCTACGTTTAACCTATGAGTTTAAACAATTAATACAAGACAACTTAACTTCACCTTGCTACGTTTAGACTGGGTGAAATTAAGACACTAAAACAAAATAATCTAATCTCGCTTTGCTACGTTTAGACTTGGGAGATTAGATTCATGTGGCTAACCTCAACATTTAGCCACAATCACATGACAGGGATACATCTTATCAAAGAGACTCTCACCAACAGAGCTACGTTTAGACTTCTGAAGGCCCACCAAACCCCTATTGGGTCTGCGAAGTTTAGTCACTTAAGTCTTCCTAGGGGACTACCTGTCAGTGCTACCACTGATTCTAGAATCACTCAGACATAGACACTAATACTGCAGTATATTTTACAACATAAACATAAATAGTAACGTTACAAATGGTCAATAAAAGGCTAAGAAATCAGGTCACACAGACTAGCATTTACCTGCACCGTTCTTTGTTTCATGGACACTCAAAAATTACACTAATGCCATGTTTTATAAATGGTATGGCTTACCTTTCATATGACCGGTCTGTTTGAGTGCCCACGAAATGGTTGGCAGGTGCAGGTGTTCTGCTGGTGTCTGTGGTATTCTGATCCCGGACAAAGAGCCCCCAACTGTGGAAGTAGACAAAAATATTACCAGGTTCAATAAAAAGCGTTTAATTGACCATTACAATACACAGAGATATCTCATGGAGATTGGCAAGAAGCAATCTAACATCATGTTACAATTCCTCATATTTTATACATATGACCCGGAACTGGCCTTTCGTTTAGCTTGAATCAGAACTCCAAATATGGTCTTATTTCCTATTGGCTAAATTCTAGCATAACTGACAAATTTAAGGTTCAAAGTTTAAGCATACCATGATCTTTCTAACAGATGACTTGACCACAGTCATGCGTCTTACTTCGCTAAAATATCGCTTGTCTATGATAAGAGTTAACACATATAAGACTTCCTCTTTCACAACTTAAGCACACATTTCACCTTTCCCCCCCTGGCAACATCTGACAAGACACACTTTCAAAATAACCTTTCCTTTTGCAATCCAAAAAACAGTCCAGACATCCATTAATAAATTGTAGCAATAAAACATAGTTTCTTCTTATTTCTTAGAGTAAATATTCTTCTTTGATTATATTTTAAGATGATGAATAAACAGCAAAATGGCTGACAGCATGTCAGTAGCAGGTTACATATGTTCACAATGTATTCTGCATTCTTTCGGTTAACCGTGTTCAGTTACTCAGTCAGGTGGTCTGAATCAGTGTGTCGCCTGGATGTTTATTATCAGTCCGGTTCGGGTTAGGTGTGGTCGGTGACTCTCGGTTAGATATCTGGTTGTGTGTGGGCATGTGAGTAGCTGTTGTGAGCATCTGTGTTTTTCTACTTCCAACTCATCTATTTGTCCTTATTGGGCCAGTCCATTTTCGAATGCTGTTTAATATGCGTCTAATTATTGTAGGCTACCTATTAATTGTTAGCAGGGTGTTGTGGTCGTTTTGCTTGTGTTTTCCTAGATTGTCTTCCGTACTGAGGTGGTCCCCAAACTCCATTGTGTGTCTCGTGTGGTTCATGTTCTGTTATCTTAGTGCATGTTGTAGGGGTAGTGAGTGACCTTTGCTTCTTTCCAAAGTTTTAGACCTGTTTCCGTCTAGATTTCAGTCTGGTCCATGTTCCTATCTTTCCTCTTGCGGATTGTTTGCCTTTATGTGCGTGTTTCCCACCTTTCCATGCATGAGTGTTGTTCGCGTCTTGTGGCCTAAGTGTGTCCGTGTTCGTCTGCCGAGCTACTTGCTTCCTGTTAGTTATCAAATGGTTTTCGTCTTGGAGGTTAGTCCTCCATGGTTATATGGCTTTTTCTGGCTTCTCAGGTTTCCATATGAACGTGCGTAAAATTAGCGTTGCTGTAACAGTCCGTGTCGTGTTTCGTCTTGTAAATGTTGATAAATTGCTATCTGTGGTTTTAATTGCTAAACTATATGTATGTGTATTGCCATTTCTATTCTTCACTTGCACACCAAAATAATTAAATTTTTACAAATAAAAAAAATAAATAAAAATAAATTGGTGACGAAATAAAAAGCCTTGAAAAAGACTCACATGTAACCGCGCAGTTTGTCTTAATTTGCAAACAAAATGCCCCAATGGGAATAAAGTACTGTTTGGGAATGCAATTTTTTCTAAAAAATAAAAAAATAAAATCACGTTGGTCCAATAAAACAAATTGTTAAAATTGCAACTCTGAAAATGACACGACCCTAATATAACCCTATAACTTCCCCAAAATAAAAATCTGCAGTATTTACTGTAATGGTACACAGTAGGTCTGTGAAATTCACCTTGAATTGAAGTATGTCTGTGGAAAGCACAAAGTGCTAACTATATAACACACAGTTCTGGCACAGATCATTGATACAATGGTTCAATGAAAAGTGTCAAAATGCTCTTATTTAAATCCCCTGATGGGCGGCTCTAACTTCTACATTTATTTACTTTGTATAGCACTATTGAATTTGGTGATCGCTGTTAGACGTACAGCTCACTCATGTAACGTTTTGCAAATATTTAGCTTAAAAATAATAATTTACTCCTTGCAATATTTGCAATATAACTTTCAAAAATTGATTGAAATCATAGACACATTAATTCAAAATGATAAATATAGCAGGTGAATGTGTCAGAGCTCTCCCTCTCCGGTCCGCAGGCACATTGCTGACAGCCGGCAGGGGAGGGAGACGGAGGAGAGAGGACCCGGGAGCTCAGCCTGCAGCTCCTCCGGGTCCTCCTCTCGCGAGATTTAGAGCGTTGCTGCGGTTACCACGGCAACGCTCCAAATCTCGCGAGAGTGAACTCTAGCCCTGGAACGCGGGCTAGAGTTCACTCTCCCCACTGGGACCACCAATGAATCCCCCACCGGACCAGCAGGGAAATGTCCCCGTTCCCCCCCAGTAAAGGTAAGAAGGGAGGGTGGACATAGAATATTTATATTAAATTAAAAAAATATATATTATTTTAAAAAAGCCCCCCACCCTTATCACACACATTGCCCCCCCATACACACATACTGCTCCCATACACACACACTGCCCCCCATACACACATTGCCCCCCATACACACACACTGCCCTATACACACATTGCCCCCATACACACACACTGCCCCATACACACATTGCCCCATGCACACACTGCCCCCATACACACACACTGCCCCCTATACACACACACACTGCCCCCATACACACACATTGCCCCTATACACACACTTCCCCATAAACACACATTGCCCCCCATACACACATACTGCCTCATACACACACACTGCCCCCCATACACACATACTGCCCCATACACACATACTGCCCCATATACACAAACTGCCCCTATATACACACACCCCATGCACACACACTGCCCCCATGCACACACATTGCCCCCCATACACACTGCCCCCCATGCACACACATTGCCCCCATGCACACACACATTGCCCCCACACACACACTGCCCCATACACACACATTGCCCCCCATACACACACACTGCCCCTCATACACCCAGTGCCCCTCATACACACCCACTGCCCCCATACACACACATTGCCCACACACATTGCCCCCATACACACACACTGCCCCCCATACACACACACTGCCCCCCATACACACACACTCTACACACATACACTACCCGATACACACACACTGCCCCCATACACTGCCGCCCCATACACATACATTGCCCACACTCACACATACACTGCAATACTCACACACACACACAGCAAATGTTACACACACATACTGTCCCACACATACACTGCATTCCTGACATACACTGCCGCCCTCACACACACTACAACCTTCACACACACACACTGCTCACACACTGTCCCCCTCACACACACTGCACCCCTTACACATTGCACCACTCACACACCACTGCTCCTATGCCCTACTACTGCCCCACTTCCCAGCAGACCTCAGGTAAGTTGTCAAACTGTTCTTAAACGGTTTGACTACTTACTCTGGGAGGGGGTCCCGGCACTATTGACACCATAACCACTACACTGAGCTGTAGTGGTTATTGTGTCTGGATTATTTCTTTAAATAATCTACAAGTGCCCCTCCCGAGATCAGGCTCTGGATCCGCCACTGCATAGATCAACAGCCGGCACAGCTTAACCCTTTCACTGACTGAGATATGCCGTGCATTAGTTTGCTCCAAAACAAATCCCTATTTATACCCAGCCTTGAAAGGGTTTAAAGGAATATTTGCAACACCTTTACCAGTCCGCTGCAGTAGTTATGGTACTAGGAGTGCCCTCGCACCCCCACAGTGTAAGTAGTTAAAGAAGGAGCTTCCATTAAATCCTTTTTTTTAAGTTCGCTGGCTGAGTGAGTCAGCTGAACTCTCTCAACTAATGAGCTGAGCCCTGGACCACTGGTTTAACTCAATCCAAGAGATTCTGGGTCACAAGTGGATGTTTCCTGTCTAAAAAAGTTTGACTACTTATCCTGTGAGGGCAGCAGGGCACTCCAGGTACTATAACCACTACAGACTGCTGGTGCTTGGAGGATTCCTTAAGGACACAACTTCTTGAATAAAAGGGAATCGTGACGGAATATTTCCGTCATGTGTCCTTAAGGAGTTAAAGGGAGTGTGTAATATACAGCTAGAGAGAAACCAAGGGATGAGGCCTTATGATGGTGTCTGTGAGATATAGTATGGACTGAATCTATAGGTATATTTGAAACCTAGCAACGGCCACGGAAATAAAACACTCCAAAGAAGAAACCGACATCAGTAAAACAGAGTAAATTTGAAAAAATACTTTATTGTTTTAATAAAATTAACAATATACAAAATATATGTGTGTAGGAACATGTGTGTAGTGGTTCTGACAAGTGTGAATCCTGCAGGTTCAGGCCAGTGAGCCATGCATGTTGTTAATGTGAGTTTCACTGTGTATTTTATTTGGCAATGATGAAACTACCAAGTGCAATTCTAAATCATGTTTTTATGACACCATTATTGTGTTTGTTTCCTAAAATGGGATTGTCTTTTTATCTGAATAAATACTTTGTTTGCTCATGTGTTAAAGCTGCCGATAGGCAGTGTATGACTGTATGTGTTTGCCATTGCATGATTGTCTGAATTTGTCTTTGAATAAATGTTTGTGCTTGTGCATATGTGTTTCTTTGTGCATAAAAGTTGGTGTCGCTGCCTGAATGATTTTGAATGTATTTATGTGAATGAATCTGCAGCCTTGTCCCTGTACAAATGTAGTGTTTATCCATGTGTCCTTGCAATGAGTAGTGCTTTTTTGTTTGTTTCACTGTTCTTTTCGTCTAGATTCCAGTTCGACCTCTTTATGGATTTGGTCTATTGTTCTCGGTCCCTGGGGTTTATGTCGAGGTACCCAGTTATTTTTTCTTAATTCTATCACATCCTGCACCAAAAATCGAATCCGTGAAGATGTTTTCTGGGTTTTAATAAAGGTGTCAATCTTGCTGATATAGTTGTCCAAGCGACACTGTCCGTTTTCCAAGGATTTTCCAATTGTAGTGAGCAAAATGCAGATGCATTCCATGGACTCCTCGCTGTTCCTGTTCAGTAGTTTCATTAGACAATCTTTCATGGTCTCTTCAGAGAGCAGTTTTAATTTAAATAGCTCCCCAATAAATGTTATATTCCCTTGGTATCGCCTGCGTGCCTTATTAAAAGCATCACTCAATTCCTCCTTTAGTCGGGTCTTTTCTTTCGGTGAGGTGGCTGCATCCAGTTCCTTTTGTAGTTTCTCAGTTCTTTCATTCCCATTTTCACCTCCCTCAAACTCCTTCTGGCAGAGCCTTATTAGCATCCTACGGAATGTAATGCTTTCTTCAGGGTTGTCTTCTGTTGGGACCTCAAGCATTATTAGCCAGTTGCACATGCTGGCGTATACAACAGCGAAATGTGGCTCTGCGATTGCTTTTTCAAAGATGACTTCTACAACAGCTTTCAGTTGATACTCTGTGTGTATTGAGAGGTCTTTAACTTGCTTGATTAAATGCTGGAATGTCTGAGGTGTGATTTTGTTTAGAATGCTGCGAACTTTGCGAACCAATTCTTTGGCCTTGGCAATAGTAGGATCTTCGTTTGTCCTTTTCATGGGGGGTTTCCAAGCCTTTTCACATGTATGCTGTTTTACATTCTCACTTACTTGAAGGATTTTACAAAGTTCTTTACTAGGAGATTGCTGAGTCCTCATTTGGCCCATTCCACGTGGCAGTCTGTAATTCTCCTTAGCAGGGTGGAAGAAATTTGTGGTTAGAGGTGTACATTTCCTGCTGGTAAATCGTGGTCGAAGATGAGGTCTAATGAGCATACCTCGGTAGATTTGAGCTATTTCAGACAAGTCCTTTGGTTCCTGTGTGATAGATTTCAATCTAAGTAAAGAATCCCTGTCATAGTGTATCCTTTCTATCTTTGTTTTAATATTTGTCTTCTCTTGGAGTACAGTTACTGCAAGGTCTGGGCTTTTCTTTCTAACTATACCAGCCTCACCAGGTGGTTCTTTTTCTTTGTCTTCTGGCAATGGCTGCTCTTCATGGTCACTGCTGAGACTTGCATGTGTTCCTGGCTGATTATTCTTTATCTCAGTTTGTTCCTCCTCAGGGGTACCCTCTTGATTGATTAGAAGCAACTCCTCATGCTGAACAGTGGGGCAACCAAAAGTAGTCTCCGAGTGATGAAGCACAGTGTCAGAGCTTACTGGCAGCTCCTCTAACATTTCACCAGTGCCCGATTTGGCTGGACAAACTGGGCCCACTAGAAGAATACCTGGATCTTGATCTTTGACAGCCTCCCGAGAATCTAGATTGGTAGGCTCTGGTTGACAATCCAAAGTGGACTGTGGCTGACCAAGGTTTACTGGCAACTCCTCTGTCAATCCACTTGTATGAGGTTCGGTAGTAGAATAATTGGTGTCTTCTAGATGTGTGATAACCTCTGTAGGCTCTAGAGAGATAGGCTGTAGTAAGAGAGATGTAACTGGGTTCTGAGAATCTAGATTTGCAGGCTCAGGTAGACAATCTAAAGTGGACTGTGGTTGACCAAGGTTTACTGGCAACTCCTCTGTCAATCCACTTGTAAGAGGTTTGATAGTATAAACAGAGCATTCTAGAGAAGTGTTGTGTTCTAGATGTGTGATAATCTCTGTAGGCTCTAGAGGGGTAGGCTGTAGTAAAATAACTGTAACTGGGTTCTGAGAATCTAGATTTGCAGGCTCAGGTGGACAATGTAAAGTGGACTGTGGCTGACCAGTGTTTACTGGCAACTCCTCTGTCAGTCCACTTGTATGAGGTTCGATAGTAGAAACAGAGCATTCTAGAGAAGTGTTGTGTTCTAGATGTGTGATATCCTCTGTAGGCTCTAGAAACCTAGCCTGCAGCAACTGACAGGGAATATCCTCTAGACATGTGACAGGTTCAGGCTGTAGAATAATATTGTGTTTATAATACTCTGCAGAATACTTTTTTTCATTTTCCAGTTCTTTTTTGTCTACTTGTTTTTCTTGGACATTTGTAGCCTTTTTAGTTGTTTTGTATTGTTTTGGAACGAATTTAGGCTTCACCTTAGAGGAAATGAATGGTTCCCTGCAAATAAAAAATACAAAAAGTTAAAATACAGTTGTAACAATTATGTCCTTTTCTCCCTTTCCATCCATCAGCCCATTTTGTCACTTATATTATTCCTCTTCAGCTTTCATCTCACTTTCAGTCCGTCAGCTACCCTATCACTCGTTATCTATCAGTCATTATTGCACAGCTTTAAATGACACTATCAGATCATTTATGATACATACATTACATTCTGGTAACAGTAATTCCAGAAAATAGTTTATTTTGTACCATTAAAGCTTCTGTTTATATTAAAATACATGTCTTATGGAAATTAGGTAATTCCTGGTAAGTCACGTTGCTGTAGTGCTCCCCAGTGATTTGTGATGTTGGCTCAGAAAGAGCATTGACATCATTCTCTATCTGTGACTCTTCTCTCATTGGTTTCCTGTGTACACAGACAGCCAGTGAGAGAACCAAGGTATTGGCCTACTGAGGACACTGAAGGTTTATTTGGATAACTTTATAGGATTATGGTCGATCATTCTGTGTCTCAATAAACACTTACCTAGGTGGCCGAGAATATTTCATTAGTCTGTTGGTTTCCCTTGGAGTCACCCGAATATAATATGGTACATCGGGAATCTTCTCCTCTTTTCCATATCTGACATAGTTATTATAATGTGTAAAGATTTTGAGAAAAACAGAAAAAAACAAAATGTCAGGCTAATTCTTCCAGCACCCAGTGGAGAGGCCAACATCTCAATTTGTTAAAACAAACATAAACAATAGAAAACAAAGATCTCTCTCCTTTGATTAATGTGATCAAACAGTATTTACCTTTCATCAAGCACTGCAAATTTAGATGTAACAGAAGGGGGCAAGCAAAGTCTCTTTGTGCTTTTTTGGCAACATTTTAGACTTCCTTCCACAAACCCCTCATTCTGTTCCTGTGCCTCCAATCTCTTCCCTTTCTCAGGATCTGGAGAGAATTCCAGATTAGGTGATACCTGGGGGAATGTCTGGGGCTCTGCTTTAAGTGGTAGCCTGTTTAGGAAAGAAGGAGCGATTATTGGAGTTTCATATTTCACATTTGATGTTATATTTCTGGAATAACCGAGTATGTTTAGGAGATGATAGAAGAAGCCATTATATATTATAGGTTATTATTTGGGTCATTCTGTGTCTCATGATACACTTACCTAGGTTGCCGAGCATATGTCATTAGTTGGTAGGTTTTTCTTGGAGTCACCCGAATATAGTATGGTACATCGGGAATCTTCTCCACTTTTTCATATCTGACATAGTTATTATAATGTCTAAAGCTTTTGAAGAAAAACACAAAAGAGAAAAAGGTAATTAATAAACTGATGTTAAATCTCTGGAATAACAGTGTGTTATGAGATGATACAAGAAGCCATTAGATATTATGCATTGCTATTTGGGTTGTATTGTAATGATTAAATAATTCAATTCGATGTGTAAAACCTTTGACACGTTTGGACTAATTACATTCTGCATTCCATCCCAGGATGGTGCTGTCTATTCGGGGTCTCAAAACACATTTAATAAATGGGGCATTATTGTGTAAGAAACACAAATATGTATTCCTGACACTCTAGTTCTAATATCACTATTTAGGGCCTCAGCCCCCCTAAATTAAAGGTTAAAACTCACCTTTTTCGAGCACCACGCGGGGCTCCTCACATCTGGCCCCACCCCCCATCTGCCTCCTTGGTTGACATAATCAGAAATAATGATCTCCCCAAACCCAATCTTAAAGAAGTTTCAGGCCATGATAAATGCTCATATCTGGAAACGGAAACCCCCCAGGATAGCGCAAAAATCACTCTGGCGCCCGTTCACAAAAGGGGGGGCTAGGTGTTCCCAATATATCCCTCTACTACAAGGCGTCACTGTTGGCCCAGGGCCTCACGATCCTTGAACGTCCATCTCCCCCGGTATGGTTGGCATTGGAGAACGCTTGCACACCCAACGGCTCTATTCCTCTGTCCCTATGGGCGGGATCAAACTTCCCCAAAGCTAAATCCTTGCTACCCACCACAGTCTTGCTCATCCATAACTGGAAGCAAACTACACCACTATTCCTACAAAACAACGACCTGCTCCTTGCAGCCCCACTCCAAGCCCTGACTGCCCGAACGTCAGACATTCAATTAGACAATTGGCTTAAACAGGGGATCACCCAAGTCCGCTCCTTACTGTCCTCAGACGGCATCAAGCCCTTCCCAGACTTAATCAGGGAATTCCATATCCCTTCAAGAGAACTATTCTCTTACCTCAGACTAAAAAACATAATCCTAGAAAGCGAGATTAGCCTGGGAGATCCTGATCACTTACCGCCATTTATCCATAAATGCATGGGCAAACTTCCAAAAACTAAAGCACTATGCTTATGTTACAACACATTACTGCTCCACAATAAGATAACTAAACCATCGTATATGTCTAAATGGGAATCAGATCTAGGAATACATTTCTCAACAGAATTGTGGCATCGCGCCCAAAGATTAACTAAACAGGCTTCCCATAGCCTTAACCAATGGTATCTGGTCCCTACTAAATTGGCTCATATCTATCCGGGATCTGACGACCAATGTTGGAGATGTCACAACGGCGAAGGGTCCCTCTTACATATATTTTGGACTTGCACACACATCAAAACACTGTGGCGGGATATACATGCACTTCTTCATAAAATTCTGGGTGTACGTATACCCCAGACACCAGAGTGCTTTCTATTACATATCTTCCCGGATACCCTACCCGTAGAACCGATCTTCTTCACGATCCACTGTCTAATGGCTACCAAAACAGCCATTGCGCACAGATGGAAGTCCCCTCTTTCACCAACGTTGCCAGAAATCCTAGGCAGGCTAGACTCAACTCACGCATACGAGTGCATGGCTAGCCGGCTGACCAATAGCCAAAGTAGGTACAAATCACGATGGCAGAGTTGGGTGAATTATAGGAAGGGAGAGCCTCCCTAAGGGCTATAGATCGGTCACTAGTTCCCACTGGGTTTTCCCTCCCCTACTCTATGGGTCCAGTCTTCCAGCACACCATATATGACACCAGGTTGGTTCCATGCTTATCCATCACCGCTAGGCAACATGTTGTACAAACTGTCAAATGTCTTACCGACACTGATTTAACACCACGGATTGTTCTGCTATATTGTATTGTATTGTATTGCATTATATTGTACGGTATTGTACTGTATTGCATGATATGATGTGACCTATGCAAGCTGCCTTCCCCTCCCCTTTCCCTTTTGCCTTCTGTATCCCTTGTTTTACTTCGTATTCTGTTTCTACACGAATGATGAAAAATTTGCTTAAATAAAACACATTGAAAAAAAAAAGAAAGAAATGATGATCTCAACCAATCTAATGCTTTACCTTAAGAAAGCATTGGATTGACTGAGCTAGTCAATTTTGAATATCTCAGCCAAGGAGGCATGCTGGGGGCGGAGGCAATGCTGCCATGGCCAATCATAAATTGATGCATCTTGATAAGAATGTTCAGTGTCTCCATGCAGAGAGTGGAGTCACTGAATGTCAGTGCTGCCCACTCTGCAGCACTGCCACAGGAAGCACCTATAGTGACTGCCACTGGAGGTGTTCCTAAGGAGCAATGTAAACACATTTTATACACTAGAAAAACCTGCAGGGACAGACTATAGAGACCAGAACCACTACATTAAGCTGTAGTTTTTCTGGTGACTATGGTGTCCCTTTAATTCCTCTATATTTTACTGTTTTTACACCCCTGTGTATCATGCCTGCTTATTTTATTTCAAATTCCATCACTACAAATGAGCTAGGCTTCACACATGGATTTGTTCATTTTATTATCTCATCTGTTTAGAAAAATAACTAAAAGGTGAAATTCAAATTCAATTTTAAGAATTTTACCTCGTGGATTACTATCATTCATTTAAAGATAACATTATTAAATCTACAAGAAAGCTCTGTTATTTACAGAAATTCTGCCCATTAACAAACCATCCTTTATTCCAATCTCTATCGAACTCTGACCCCCGTCTTCCAATAACCCCATCTAATATACCCACAGCAACTGTCCACTTACCTGTCCATAGAAGGCTCATAAGAAATCTCTTTTAGACTTGTGACATGTTCAGGCTGTAGAATATTATCCTGTTTATGACACTCTGCACAATAATTTTCACTTTCAGCCTTTTTAGTTGTTTTGTATTGTTTTGGAAGTAATTTAGGCTTCACCTTAGAGAATAGGAATGGGTCCCTGCAATTAAAATAGGAAACGTTAAAATACAGTTGTAACAATTATATTCTTTCCTGCCTTTCTATCCATCAGCCCATTTTGTCACTTATCTTATTCCTCTTCAGCTTTCCTCTCAATTTCAGTCCATCAGCTACCCTATCACTCGTTATCTATCAGTCATTATTGCACAGTTAATAGTGACACTATCGGATCATTTATGATACATACATTTCATTCTGGTTACAGTAATTTCAGTAAATGCTTTATTTTGTACCATTAAAGCTTCTGTTTATCTTATAGAAATTAGGTAATGCCTGGTAAGCCGCATTGACATCTTTTTCTATCTGTGGCTCTTCTCTCATTGGTTTCCTGTGTACACAGACAGCCAGTGAGAGAACCAGGGTATTGGATTACTGAGGACCCTGCAGTTTTATCTGGATAACCTTATAGGATTATGGTCAGTCATTCTGTGTCTCATGATACACTTACCTAGGTGGTCGAGCATATCGAATTTCCAAGTTGGATTTTTTTGGAGTCACCCGAATATAGTATGGTACATCGGGTTTCTTCTCCTCTTTTCTATATCTGACATAGGTATCATAATGTCTAAAGCTTTTGAACAAAAACACAAAAAGCAAAAGGTCAGGCTAATTCTTCCAGCACCCAGCCTAGAGGTTATTATCGCAATTTGTTAATGTGATCATATAGTATTTACCTTTTATCAAGCACAGCAAATTTAGATGTAACAGAAGGGGGAAGGCGACGTCTCTCTGTGCCTTGTTGGCAACATTTTAGAATTTCGTCCACAAACCCACCATTCTGCTCCCATGGCTCCCATCTCTTCCCCTTCTCAGTTTCTGGAGAAATATCCAGATTAGATGATAATTGAGGGAATGTCTGGGGCTCTGCTTTAAGAGGTAGCCTGTTTAGGAAAGAAGAAGTGATTAGTGAAGTCTCATATTTCATACATTTGATGTTTTGTGTTTGGAATAACTGAGTGTGTTTACGAGATGATAAAATACGTCATTATATGTTATGCATTGTTATTTGGGTTGTATTGTACTGGTTTAATAATTAAATTTAATGTGTAAAACCTGTTAAACTCTCCTAGACTCATTTCATCCCAGGATGGTGCTGTCTGAATATCGACTCAAAACACCTTTATTGATTTCTGTAAATTTTACTTTCTTTGCACCCCTGTATATCATGTCGGCTTATTTTATATCAATCACTACAAATGGGCTAGGCTACACACTTTCATTGTTTTGTTCATTTTTTTTATCTCATGTGTTAAGAAAAATAACTAAAAGGTGAAACTCAAATTCACAGGATTTTAGCACAAATATTATCCCATTCATTTCAAGGTTACTCTATTTAATCTACAGGAAATCTATGTTATTTAGAGAAATTATGCCCATTAACAAACCATACTTTATTCTAATCTCTATCGAACTCTGACCCCCATCTTCCAATAACCCCATCTAATATACCTGCTGCCGCTATCGACTTACCTGTCTGTAGAAGGCTGGATGATTGGCTGTTTTCTGAATTCTTTTTTAATAGAATTCCTGGGTGGGGGTTGAGTACCCGCCAGCCATGAAACCAGGGGACGTTTAATCATAGAAATAACGTTACCCATTGTCTCTGTAAATCATCTCACTGCAATGAAACTGCTTGTGAAATGCCAGTGTAAACAGCAGTAACCGGGTTATCTGTTATCTGCTCAGTGACATCACAATAGAACCTGATGATCTATGATGTAAGAAAAATGGCTGACTGCATGATGTCTATGGAAATTAAATACAATTGAAAATGTAAATAGCATTTAAATGACAGGCAAATAAACAACTTAATTTCCCAAGTTGTGGTTGTGGCTTTAAAGGGGTACTCCAGCCACCATAACACATTGATCACAATTAAGTTGTTTTGGTGTGATGAGGTCCATGGCACCATCTCACCTTAATCTGTTCAACCATTAACAGTTTAACCCCAAGCACTTCCTCTAAAGGTCTGAATCCTTGAATAGGGTGCCGCTAATAGGCTGAGAGCGTTTGCTGACACACTCAGCCTATCACAAGCTCTTCACCAAGAAAGTGAATGGAAAGGCTCCATACTTTTTAAATTTATTTTTCTGACTAGGGAGCTATTGTAAGGCTGAGAACATGAGAGGTGCCGGGTCTGGGCTTCCTGATTGAAGCCTCACACCTTCAGAGGAAGTGGGAGAGTAGAGTGATCCAGCACCATTTTCTAGAACTTGGGGTTAAACTGTTCGTTTATAGCTTAACCCCATAAGGTAAGATGGCACCCGTGATCTCTAGTTGTTATGGTACCTTGAATAGTCTTTTAGATCAACTATATTACAAATAATGGATGCAGATTTAAAATAAATAAACTGAGACTGATGACTGAGACAGAAAGAGTGGAGTGGAGTAGTACTGAATTATATTAATGTGAGCTAATGGTGCCTCATGTTGTTGGCGGTGGAGAAACATGGAGCGAGAATGGCTCTGACGATTGATACTTCTCTTACATTAATCATGTTTTCCTCAGCATTGTGGAAGGGTTAGTCTAGGTAAATTATAACAAATATCTTTTAAAAAAAGTTAAATGTAAAAAAACCCAAACCCTCCCATTTTAAGCTGCCTCTCAGAGCAATGTTTATTGTGTCTGCTTTTTCCATGAGAGCCAGATGCCATGTCTGTAAATGGATGGAGGGCCACCTTCATCTATATATCTTAAATAAATTAAGATTATAATAGAAGATTGCTCTTATTAACTATCCTAATGTGGAGATAACAGCGATAACAATATCAAATTAGGGAACTATTTACTAAACAGCTGAACTGTTACTATTTGGAAGTGCTTTTTATTTTAAACTTTCAGCAATTTGGTAGATAACTCCCTTTATTTGGGACTGCCAGATAGAAGGATATCTATCAAAATACACAAAATCAAGGTATGTTATAACCAATGTGTGGAACTCATACACCTGTGTGGGATCCCCTTAACCCACACCAATAAACCAAAATAAAATATACATACACTAGGTGGAGTATTTCACATCAAACTGGTAAGCAATGCAAATAATTTATACATAAATAACACATAACAAAAACAGCAATACATTTGCTGAATATTGTAAAAATTGTTATAAGAAATTATATAATTTTGCACTAAATCCTAACGTTGTTCAACCCACATCAGAAAACAATAATTTGATTCTAGTTAAAGTCCCTTTGAAACAATGTATTTATTTGTTACCACAGGTCTTTCTCTGGTATATTGACACCTTATTTAATTAGATTATTTAATCAATATTGGTCCACAGGTGTCATGCTCGAGGAAGCTCTGAAAGCACAAATGATAACATTGCCTACACCTGGTAAAACGTCTAACGTTTGTCCACGTTTTCTCCCAATTTCATTAATAGATAACACAAAAAAGAGCTTGTCTGACACTTGGCAGGACTGAATTGGCAGGACAGACTGGGCCCTCTAGAGGAATACATGCTTCTTGATCTGTGACAGCCTCCCGAGAATCTAGATTCATAGGCTCAGGTGGACAACCCAAAGTGGACTGTGGCTGACCAAGGTTTACTGGCAACTCCTCTGTCAGTCCATTTGTATGAGGTTCGATAGTAGAATAATTGGTGTCTTCTAGATGTGTGATAATCTCTGTAGGCTCTAGAGAGGTAGGCTGTAGTAAAAGAGCTGTAACTGGGTTCTGAGATTCTAGATTTGCAGGCTCAGGTTGACAATCCAGAGTGGACTGTGGCTGACCAAGGTTTACTGGCAACTCCTCTGTCAATCCACTTGTATGAGGTTTCGATAGTAGAAACAGGGCATTCTAGAGAAGTGTTGTCTTCTAGATGTGTGATAACTTCTGTAGGCTCTAGAGACCTAGCCTGCAGCAAGTGACAGGGAATATCCTCTAGACATGTGACAGGTTCAGGCTGTAGAATAACGTTGTGTTTACAATACTCTGCTGAATACTTTGTTTCATTTTCCAGTTCTTTTTTGTCTACTTCTTTTTCTTGGGCATTTGTAGCCTTTTTAGATGTTTTGCATTGTTTTGGAAGTAATGTAGGATTTACCTTAGAGAAAATGAATGGTTCCCTGCAATTAAAAAAATACGAAAAGTTAAAATACAGTTGTAACAATTATATCCTTTTCTCCCTTTCCATCCATCAGCCAATTTTGTCACTTATATTATTCCTCTTCAGCTTTCATCTCACTTTCAGTCCGTCAGCTACCCTATCACTCGTTATCTATCAGTCATTATTGCACAGCTTTAAATGACACTATCAGATCATTTATGATACATACATTACATTCTGGTAACAGTAATTCCAGAAAATAGTTTATTTTGTACCATTAAAGCTTCTGTTTATATTAAAATACATGTCTTATGGAAATTAGGTAATTCCTGGTAAGTCACTTGCTGTAGTGCTCCCCATTTATTTGTGATGTTGGCTCAGAAAGACCATTGACATCATTCTCTATCTGTGACTCTTCTCTCATTGGTTTCCTGTGTACACAGCCAGCCAGTGAGAGAACCAGGGCATTGGCTTACTGGGGACACTGAGGGTTTATTTGGATAACGTTATAGGATTATGGTCGGTCATTCTGTGTCTCAATAAACACTTACCTAGGTGGCCGAGCATATGTCATTAGTTTGTTGGTTTCCCTTGGAGTCACCCGAATATAGTATGGTACATCGGGAATCTTCTCCTCTTTTCCATATCTGACATAGTTATTATAATGTCTAAAGCTTTTGAGAAAAACACAAAAAAAACTAAAGGTCAGGTTAATTCTTCCAGCACCCGGTGGAGAGGCTAAAATCTCAATTTGTTAACCCCTTAAGGACTGAGCCAAATGTACACGTTGTGAACAAAACAAAATGTAAACAGAACCTGGCATTTGCGCTACATGTTTGTCCAACCGTAATTCACCTCTTTCATATTAAATGCACTCATCCTTATTATATATCATATTATTCAGGGGAAACAGGGCTTTCATTTAATATCAAATATTTAGTTATGAAACATAATTTAATATGAAAAAAATGGGAGAAAATAAGAATTCTTTTAAATTTTTTAGTTCTGCATGACATTTTAACTGTCAATGTCATAATACTGTTTGCTTTTACTGCAATAAAATACACATATTTGTATTCATCAAAGTCTCACGTGTAAAACAGTACCCCCTATGTACAGGTTTTATGGCGTTTTGGGAAGTTACAGGGTCAAATATAGCACGTTACATTTGAAATTGAAAATCGCCAGATTGGTTACGTTGCCTTTGGGACTGTACAGTAGCCCAGGAATAAAATTTACACCCATAATGGCATACCATTTGCAATAGTAGACAACCCAAGGTATTGCAAATGGGGTATGTCCAGTCTTTTTTAGTAGCCATTTGGTCACAAACACTGGCCAAAGTTAGCGTTAGTATTTGTTTGTGTGTGAAAAATGCAAAAAACGCCAATTTTGGCCAGTGTTTGTGACTAAGTGGCTACTAAAAAAGACTGTTTGCAATACCTTGGGTTGTCCACTATTGCAAATGGTATGCCATCATAGGGGTCATTTTCATTATTGGGCTACCATAGGGTCTCAAAGGCAACGTAACCAACCTGGCAAATTTTAATGTGAAAAAAATGAAACACAAGCCTTATATTTGACGCTGTAACTTTTGAAACCACTATAAAACCTGTACATGAGGGGTACTGTTGTACTCGGGAGACTTCGCTGAACACAAATATTTGTGTTTCAAAACAGTAAAAAGTATCACAGCAATAATATCGTCTGTGTAAGTGCTGTTTGTGCATTAAAAATACAAAAAACTTCACTTTTACTGGCGATATCATCGTTGTAATACATTTTACTGTTTTGAAACACTAATATTTGTGTTCAGCGAAGTCTCCCGAGTAGAACAGTACCCCCATGTACAGGTTTTATGGTGTCTTGGAAAGTTATAGGGTTAAATATAGTGCTAGCAAATTAAATTCCCTTTACTTTCGGTATGGGTTGTCAGCCACCCTCAAACGATTCTTTTTCGAAAAAATTGGAGATAACCATACTCAAAATCCAATTTTATCCCCCCAATTCCCTCCCATAATAACCATATCATGAACACACATCTCAGAGAAAAATCTACTTTTTATCCGGCTCATTTTAAAACTCTTACTCTTACTATGTTTGAAAAATTGGTTATAAAAGATTTAGAAAAAAATCAAAAATACCAAATACGATCCTCATAACCTCACACTCATAGAGAAGTTGGCACTAAAAGAACTACAGGATGATGTAAATATTGTAATCAAGCCTGCAGATAAAGGTGGAGGAATAGTTATTCAATCTAGCCAAATGTATATAGAAGAGGCACACAGACAACTGAATGACAAAAATGACAAACTCTCTTCAGAGCCCATCAAATACAAATTATTTTAACTCAATTTTTAATTAAAGGCGTAAATTCAGGTATCCTGAATAAACACGAATTCAATTTTTTAAATAACAAGTTTCCCGTTACCCCAGTTATATACTTCCTCCCCAAATTCCATAAACATGAAACTGCACCACCTGGGAGGCCTATTGTGTCTGGCATAGGCTCGCTCCTATGCAATCTCTCTCAATACATTGATATTCTCCTACAGCCTTCAGTCAAATGCATGAGATCCTATCTTCAAGATTCCATGGCTCTTTTAAAGTTTTTAAATAATTTTACATGGAAATCTAATTTTATATTGGTGACTTGCGATGTTCAGTCACTGTATACAATCATACCTCATGATATAGGTTGTCAAGCTGTAAGAGATACCCTAACAAGAGAGGGCCAAATTCTTGACATACAAATTAATTTTATTTTAGAAGGTATCAATATAATTTTTAAAAATAACTATTTTTGGTTTTTAAACTCTTTTTACCTCCAAAAAAGAGGAACAGCTATGGGAACTAGGTTTGCTCCCAGCTACGCAAATCTATTTATGGCCGACTGGGAATCTGGAGCTGTTTTTAGTGACCATGCTTGGTGAGCAAACCTAGTTTCATATTTTAGATATATTGATGACCTTTTTTTATATGGGAAGGTTCTGAAGATGATATGAATTCTTTTATTACTAATCTTAACACAAACAATAGAGGTACAGTCCTAACCCACGAATACAGCAGGGAACAAATTAACTTTTTAGACCTCAACATTTTTATCAAGAACGGGAATATACATACAAAAATTTTTTTTTTAAAGTATGTGTGAATACTGCTATAGATAAGAGCAGTTGCCACTACCAACCCTGGCTAGATAGTGCTCCGAAGAGTCAATTACTAAGACTCCGGAGGAACTGCTCAGAAATAAGTGATTTTAATACACGAGCAAATGCATTGAAAGACAAATTCGTTGAGAAAAACTATTCAGAAACAGAACTTGCCAGCACCATTAGGGATATCCAAAACAAAGATAGAAATTAACTCCTAAAATATAAACCTAAAACTAAAGATGACATCAAAATGGAAACAAACACCTCTATCATGAGATCACACAACACGAATAAGGCACACTCATGAACGGCAACTGACCAATAACGACGGACCAATAGCCTTTACCATCCCAAAGAGAAAGAGGTCCAGGGGTGATAAGGAAATATTAAAGGAACACAAAAGGCAGGCACAAAGTACAAACTTACGAATATTCCTCTACTCGAGCTGCAAACCGGTCACCCATATGAATATTCTAACGTGTTAACCACGATCAAATACCATAAAGGTATAATACGTAACATTGTTTGAGTGATGTTCACACATTCTACGTTGGGACCTGCGAGTCCATTATATCTTGTTTGCTTGTTCAATCTATAGATTCATGCTGTTGTACATTGATCAGGGCAAACCCTGAAATGCTTATGTTTGAATAAAGCCTTTTTGAAACATAAAACTAAAGATGAACCTATGCATTTACCAATTATTTTTAATTTTAATAACAAAACTAACAATGTAAAAAAGATTATAAAAAAACACTGGCATATCCTACAACAAGATGAAACTCTTAATAAAATTATACCAGAGCGTCCAAATATAATATTTAGAGGAGCCAAAAATTTCAAATCAATATTAACTAAAAATTATACCAAGGAAGTGAAAAACATACCCCCTCTATCCTTCTTTCCACAAATTAAAGGGTTTTGCAAATGTAAAATGTGTATAGTTTGTAATACTACTGACCCTGCTGTTCCCTGTAAAGTTACTCAATTTATGTCGAAACGGACAAACAAGGTCTATAAAATTCATAATTTTATTAATTGTTCTACTAAAAATGTTATATATCTGCTTGAATGCCCCTGTGGTCTCCAATATGTTGGAATGACCACAAGGTGTTTGAAAACACGTTTAAGTGAGCATTGCAGAAACATTAAAAATGGATACCAGAATCACTCAGTATCCAAATATTTTATCCAACACAATAGAGACCCAAGAATGTTGAAATCTATAGGTATAAAGAAATGCACGATTCCTTGGAGGGGTGGAAATATTAAAAATGTTTTAGGTAAAATAGAAATGGAGTGGGTGTACAAACTCCAAACCCTTACACCCCATGGTCTCAATGTAGACTTTGATCTGTTTAATTTTTTATAAACATATTTAATTCCTGTTGATTTTAATATATGGAGTTAATATACCTTCCCATATTTATTTTATAATTTTATTACACACACTTAGCATATCTTGTAATACTGTTTTCTGTTCTAATGTGTTTTTAAAGAGGATTATTGTTTTAACAGTTATCCCTGAGATCCCTGGCCGGCCGCATTCTTGTGCGTGCCGACAGGGTTTCTCCTGTTGCCTTGACGACGGCTGCAGCCTTGTGCTCGCCGTCGTCTCTGTTTACACTCCCCCCATGACGACGGCCGCAATCTCGTGCGTTCTGCCGTCATCCCCAACTCCACCCCTTCTACTGACGTCAGCCGCAATTAGCATGCGCGCTGACGTCTTTCGTTCACCCTCTACACAGACGCCGGCGGCTGCGCAGTGCGCGCCGGCGTCTATACTACTATTCCCATACCCCCATGCGGCAATATGCCGGTCACATGACCGTGCATATTAAGTTTTATAAATCCAGTTTTAACCTTCGTTTTTTTATATTCATTTATGTAACAATATTTATAATGCACAAGCTATTGTATACAAACATTAATCTCTCTGATTTTATATTGTTTTATTAATTTTATGTTCTTGCTCACTGATGATTGGCTGCTCAGTTTTTGGCGCCAATTTCAAAGGACTAAAGTTCTTATATAAACCATGTCATGCCAGGTATCAAGTTCTTACCCCATATTGATAACGCCGTGTTGGCGAAACGCGTTTATGGACTTTTAATTGTGTATTTTATATATATTAAAGTATATTTGGTGACTTTTTATTTGTGCCATTTATCTTTTTAAACGCTCTAATTTATTTACTACCTGGCATCCTTTCAACATCCTGGACTCCAAGAAGTCCTAGGTGGGGATTATACCACCAGCGCTAACGTCAAGGAGCAGTTGTCCTGCTCCTGTCTTGTGAGTACCCATTCTATTTTATTTATTTTATTACCAATATTTTACTCAGTGTACACTATTGGCTGTTTCTTTCTACCCGAGTGTTGGATATACCACAGACGGAGGAAGTCCACCCTATATCCCGTAAGCGGGGATCAAACCGCTGTACGGCTTCTACACTAGAGCAAGTTAAAGCTCTTATAAATGTGAGTTTTATTTCAACCTTTTATTCATTTTTATCTTTTGAAGCATTTTACACTATTTGGCTCTCCACTCTTTTATCTTTTATATACGAGCGGACCCTCACGGAGGAATATTAAAAGGACAATTATTCTGGATCAATCACGGATAGATTCCATGACTTCAAAGAGCACATTTTAGATAAGACTTTTTGTTTTATTGTACCGATTTATTTGGACTATTTGTTTTCGTTGGCGCAGCCCTTATCTTTTATTCTCTTTCCCTCTCTGTGTTATCTTTAAAGGTTCTTGAGGGATTCCCTTATAGGGTTGCTGCCCAGATATTAGTTAGCGCTTACTCTCTGTTTTGTTTTTAACGTTAATATTTGTTTGTGTTTGAAAAATGCAAAAAACTAATTTGAACGCCAATTTTGGCCAGTGTTTGTGACTAAGTGGCTACTAAAAAAGACTGAACATTCCCCATTTGCAATACCTTGTCCAATTTTGCAAATGGTATGCCATCATGGGGATAATTCTCATTCCTGGGCTACCATACGGTCTCAAAGGTAACGTAACCAACCTGGCGAATTTCACTGTGAAAAAACTGAAACGCAAGCCTTATATTTGACTCTGTAACTTTTGAAAACACCATTGTAACGGACCGTTTTGCACACAAGGGGTAAAAACCGTTTAGGCAATCGGCCCCCTTTCCAGAGATACAGGCACAGCTACTGCAGAACACCAAACTCCCGAACTGGATACAAAATAGCACTCCAACTCCCGAACTGGAACCTCCCAAATAGCTGCTAGCAGACAAACAGGAAAAGCAGACAATCAGCTTACACTCCTGGCAATCAGTCTCTAACAGCATACAGTGAATCCCCCCAAGAACGAGACAAGGCTCCGTGTTGAGGGTCAAGCAGTGGTCTGAGGTGCTGGCACACCCAGCCTGGTTTTATTACAGTCTTCAAATACAGGACCGCCCACAGGGAGGTATAAAACAACCAATCACATCACAGTTACATCCCACATATTCCCTCCCCTTATCCTGAGAGGAAACTCAATTACACATACAGTTAAAACATACTTTCTACCCAACTTTCATAACTCTAAAACCATACATCACATTCACATAAAATTACATATTCACAATTAATCCATTCAGGGGAACAACATATTAAAAAATGGCATGAATCAGACCAGGGGTTCAAAAGTTAGTAAAAGTATCTTTTGTACCCTGGCTGGCAGCATGGCTATCTGGCTCAAACAGGTTTTACAGAGCCCTCTATCCTGGACAATGGGGAAAGTAATCCAATTATCCAGGGATAGAGGCAGACTCCATTGAGCACATGGGGACACAAAGACAGTAAAACACTTTAAAATACATCAGGTAAGACACCTTACATTAAAACTATACATTTAACATATCCCCAGATAGCTCAGGTCTGAGCGCACATTATTAAGTGAATGGCGCTCAGACCACACGAATACAGTTTAATCACCATGGAGCCAAAGTCTTTACAGTCAGTTTCATACAAATGGGCTCCATGGGATTCCTATCTGGGGTATAACACATTCAAACAAATCTACCGAACCCCAGGCAGAAAAGCACGAATGAAGCTTTTCTGCAGGTAAAAAAGATGTCTTTTAACAGGGGGCCATAGTCCAAAGGCAGCAGGCGAGCAACCAGGCTTCTCCAATGCAATGTGGCGAGATTGGTCTCGTCACAACCATAAAACCTGTACATGAGGGGTACTGTTATACTCAGGAGACTTTGCTGAACACACATATTTGTGTTTCAAAACAGTAAAAAATATTACAGCAATAATATCGTCAGTGTAACTGCCGTTTGTGTGTGAAAAATGAAAAAAACATCACTTTCACTGATGATATCATTGTTGTAATACATTTTACGGTTTTGAAACACAAATATTTGTGTTCAGCGATTTATCCCGATTAAAACAGTACCCCCCATGTACAGGTTTTATGGTGTCTTGGAAAGTTATAGGGTTAAATATAGTGCTAGCAAATTAAATTCCCTATACTTTCGGCTTTGGGTTGTCAGGCAGGTCCCGCAAATTGTAATTAATAAAAGGACCTAATTATGTAAAATTATTACATAAATATATATGAAAAATTAATATATATATGTGTGTGTGTGTGTGTGTATATATATATATATATATATATATATATATATATATATAATTTAAAAAAAATATATGGTGATATATAGGTATATACTTATGTATATAGATATATATATATTATTTTGTTTTACGTGTACTTTGATATCATATATATATATATATATATATATATATATATATATATTAATATCAAAATACAGTTAGAATGAAATTACACATATATATATATTTTAAAAAAAAATTAAATTTTTAATTTTTTTTTAACATATTTACATATTAAATTTTTTTTATTATATATAAATATATATATATATATATATATATATAATTATATATATTTAATCAATTTCCTTCTACGTGTATTTTGATATTAATATATATATATATATATATTAACATTAAAATACACTTAGACAGTGTATGTGTAAATATGTGTGTATATATATATATATATATATATATATATATACTTAGATTAGATATATAATATATATATATAAATGATCTAAGTATATTTTATTTGTAACTGTAATATATTTTATGTTTAACTAATATTTTATTTTTCACAGGAGAGGGGCAGAGACAATGTCAGCCAGTGATTTCACATCACTCGCTGACACAGGATCAGTGATCACAGTGGCTGGCTGTCACTGTGATCACCTCCTGCAGATCGCGGTAATTGGCCACAGGGGGAGTGCCTGGGTGGCCAGGCATGCTCCCCACCGCGATCTGCAGGGGGATTCTGTCTGCTGTTACATGTGTCAGCCAATAGGCTGACACATAGTAACTCTGATCGCCGTGACAGGCTGTCACTGCGATCAGATCGCAGTGAGAGGCTATCTCTGCGATTAGACTCTGCAGATCGCGGTCACTGACCGCAGGGGGACTGCCTGGGGGCTGACAATAGGCTGACACATAGTAACTCTGATCGCCGTGACAGGCTGTCACTGCGATCAGATCGCAGTGAGAGGCTATCTCTGCGATTAGACTCTGCAGATCGCGGTCACTGACCGCAGGAAGACTGCCTGGGGGGCCAGGTATGTCCCCCGAGCTCGATCTGCAGAGTGAAAATGCAGCGGCTCCGTGTATCAGCTGATTTTAAAATCAGCTGACACATGGTAAATACCGATCGCAGTGACAGCCTGTCACTGCGATCGGAAGCTGCAGACCGCGGTCCCCTGGCACATGCCCCCCGACCGCGATCTGCAGCGGCCATGTGCCGCTGGCCATGTGGGAGGCAAGACCACCCAGGGCGTTCTTTGCCGCCCTGCAGCGTTTAGAGCTATCCAAATAGGGACAGCATAGAATGCCCTGTGGTCTTAGGGGGTTAATGTGATCGCACAGTATTGACCTTTTATCAAGCACTGCAAATTTAAATGTAACAGAAGGGAGAAGGCAAAGTCTCTTTGTGCTTTTTTGGCAACATTTTAGACTTTCTTCCACAAACCCCTCATTCTGTTCCTGTGGCTCCCATCTCTTCCCTTTTTTAGGATCTGGAGAGATTTCCAGATTAGGTGATATCTGGGGTAATGTCTGGGGCTCTGCTCCTAGTGGTAGCCTGTTTAGGAAAGAAAGAGTGATTATTGGAGTTTCATATTTCACACGTTTGATGTTATATTTCTGATATAACTGAGTGTGTTTAGGGAATAATAGAAGACGCCATTATATATTACAGGTTATTATTTGGGTCATATTGTTATGATTAAATATTCCAATTTTAGATTTGTGATGTTGGTTCATACAAACCATTGACATCTTTCATTATCTGTGGTTCTTCTCTCATTGGTTTCCTGTGTACACAGCCAGCCAGTGAGAGATCCAAGGTATTGGCCTACTGAGGTTTATTTGGATAACGTTATAGGATTATGGCCGGTCATTCTGTGTCTCATGATATACTTACCGAGCATATGTCATTAGTTTGTTGGTTTCCCTTGGAGTCACCCGAATATAGTATGGTACATCGGGAATCTTCTCCATTTTTCCATATCTGACATAGTTATTATAATGTCTAAAGCTTTTGAGAAAAACACAAAAAAACTAAAGGTCAGGCTAATTCTTCCAGCACCCAGTGGAGAGGCTTAAATCTCAATTTGTTAACCCCTTAAGGACTGAGCCAAATGTACACGTTGTGAACAAAACAAAATGTAAACAAAACCTGGCATTTGCACTACATGTCTGTCCAACCGTAATTCACCTCTTTCATATTAAATGCTCCCACCCTTATTATAATGTCTAAAGCTTTTGAAGATAAACACAAAAAACATAAAGGTCAATACAGGTTAATACATTGATATTATATTTCTGGAATAACGAGTGTGTTTAGCAGATGATACGAGAAGCCATTAGATGTTATGCATTGTTATTTGGGTTGTATTGTAATGATTAAATAATTCAATTTGATGTGTAAAACCTTTGACACGTTTGGACTAATTACATTCTGCATTCCATCCCAGGATGGTGCTATCTATTCGGGGTCTCAAAACACATTTAATAAATGGGGCATTATTGTGTCAGAAACACAAATATGTATTCCTGACACTCTAGTTCTAATATCACTATTTAGGGCCTCAGTCCCCGTGTCAGCAAAAGAGTTAAAACTCACCTCACGTCTGGCCCCACCCCCGATCTGCCTCCTTGGTTGACATAATCAGAATTGATGATCTCAGCCAATCCAATGCTTTACCTTAAGAAAGCATTGGATTGACTGAGTTAGTAAATTTTGATTATCTCAGCCAAGGTGAGGGCGGAGGCAACGCTGCCATTGACAATCATAAATTGATGCATCTTAATGAGAATGTTCAGTGTCTCCATGCAGAGCATGGAGACGCTGAATGTCAGTGTTGCACACTCTGCAGCACTGCCACAGGAAGCACATATAGTGGCTATCTGAGGGACTGTCACTGTAAGTGTCCCTAAGGAGCAATGTAAACACATTTTATACATTAAAAACCTGCAGGGACAGACTATAGACACCAGAACCACTACATTGAGCTGTAGTTGTTCTGGTTACTATAGTGTTCCTGTAATTCCTATATATTTAACTTTTTTATTTTTTTGCACCCCTGTATATCATATATATATATATATATATTTGTGTTAGGTGCTTAAGATAGTACAGTGTGAAATACCATGAATAAGCGTAGGATGATAAAAGGAGCAAGTCGGTTGTGGTGTGCCGAAACCGACGATGAGGTATATATATTTTCTCATCTGTTTAGAAAAATAACTAAAAGGTGAAACTCGAATTCAGTTTTTAAAATTTTACCTCTTCGATTACTACCATTCATTTAAAGATAACATTAAAGGTCTGTTATTTACAGAAATTATGCCCATTAACAAATCATCCTTTATTCTAATCTCTGTCGAACTCTGACCCCCATCTTCCAATAACCCCATCTAATATACCTGCAGTAACCGTCCACTTACCTGTCTGTAGAAGGCCGATAAGGAATATCCTCTAGACTTGTGACAGGTGCAGGCTGTAGAATATTATCCTGTTTATGACACTCTGCACAATAATTTACACTTTCAGCCTTTTTAGTTGTTTTGTATTGTTTTGGAAGTAATTTAGGCTTCACCTTAGAGAATAAAAATGGGTCTCTGCAATTAAAATAGGAAACGTTAAAATACAGTTCTAACAATTATATCCTTTTCTCCCTTTCCATCCATCAGCCTATTTTGTCACTTATCTTATTCCTCTTCAGCTTTCCTCTCACTTTCAGTCTACCCGTTGACATCTTTCTCTATCTGTGGCTCTTCTCTCATTGGTTTTTTTTATACTGTATTTTTCTAAATAAATCTACGTTTCTATGAAAACATACAGTATATACTCGAGTATAAGTCTAGTTTTTCAGCACATTTTTTGTGCTTAAAAACCCCCACTCGACTTATACTCGAGTCACTGTCTGTATTATGGCAACTTAGAGAGCCGCGGCCGTCAGAGCCATGGCAACGATCCGCGTGGCAACCAGACCGTGAGACTTACAGTGGAGCTGACTGGAACGGAGGAGAAGGGAGCTGACAGGAGCTGCAGGAAAGGTAAGTAAATGCTTCCTGCCGGTCCCCCCACTCCACAGCCCATGCCACTGGACCACTAGGGATTAAGATAGCCCCCCTCCCTGACCAGTTAACAAGTAGGGAGGGGGGACAAAAAAAAAAAAAATAATTAAAAAATAATATTAAAATAATTTTTTTTTAAATAATAAAAATGCCCTCCCCCCACCCAGTTCACACACTCTGCATTATATACACACTCTGCATTATATACACAGAGTGTGTGTATATAATGCAGAGTGTGTGTTTGTATGAGTGTGTGTGTGTATACAGAGGCGGCTCTCTAATTAGGCGATTTAGGCGGCCGCCTAAGGCCTCGCGCTGGCTGGGGCCTCGCGGCCGCCTAAATCACCCAAGGGCAGACTGACATGTCGGGTCCTCGGTCTATGACCGAGGATCCGACATCAGGGGGAACCCGGCGGCTTGCCCTTTATGCCGCCGGGTGCGAGGCCCCCTCAGTCCGCCCGGAGAGCCAGCCTTCAGTCTGCAGCTCCTCCGGGTGTGAGCTGCAGACTGAAGTGCCTCACGATCCCCAGCCAATCAGAGCGTTGCCGCGGGTTACCACGGCAACGCTCTGACTCCTGGAGATCGCGAGACTCCTATCACGTGGTCTGCAGCTCACACCCGGCGGAGCTGCAGACCGGATAGGAGGCCCACCGGACCACCAGGGAGCCAGGACACTGGACCACCAGGGACACCTGCAAAGGTAATTCCCCCTGTCACCCCCTAAGTCCCCTGTCACCCCTCAGCATCCCCTGTCACCCCTAAGTCCCCTGTCACCCCTCAGCGTCCCCTGTCACCCCTCAGCGTCCCCTGTCACCCCCTAAGCGTCCCCTGTCACCCCTCAGCGTCCCCTGTCACCCCTCAGCGTCCCCTGTCACCCCTCAGCGTCCCCTGTCACCCCTCAGCGTCCCCTGTCACCCCTCAGCGTCCCCTGTCACCCCTAAGTCCCC